TAAAACAACACTCTTCTCTGGAGAGCTTGTGCATATAGGTTGAAGGATAAAATAGGGCTGAATGGTATTTGATTTCTTTGTGTTTATCCAAGTCACTGGCCCAGGCAGGAAGGTAATATATGAAAAGGGACATTTTTGGAATAGCTGTTTTTGAATTATGCTCATGAAATACACACTGTGCTGAGGAGGACATGTGGGAAAGCTACACTCTGACCGCATGACTAATTTTTAAAGCCTCGCCTAGAGAGAGTTTCCCCCAAGAACACAGCTGGGCTATTCCTTCGTGGACCGAATGTGTCAATTCTGAATTGAACTAAAATGAAATTTCACTCCATGATAGCAACGTGAACTGAGGAGTTAGACCCAGCAGCTAGGGTATTATGTAGTAGTTCATACACCAAGAATTATTATTTTATTAACTTTAAGAACATGTTTTACATAAAAACAGGCAACATCAAAAAAGCTCAGCTAATAAATAAACATATCACAGATGACTTCATTCCACATTAACCTACATTTATTAGCTTAAACTGAAGGATTAGGAAAAAATCGGATCTCATTCCACCTTTAATCATAGACACAAATCATTTGAAAGTTATTTCATTAGGATTCTGAAAATCAAAGATTAACCTATGCCATCTGATCCATGCAGCAAGTGATAAATTCAGTATTTTCAAAGGAAACATTGATTTTTTTTTTCTTCTTCTATCAAATTGAAACCTTTTGGAAACTTGTTTAAGTGCAAGTTTCCAGTCCATCTTTTTAGTATGCATGAGCAAAATACTATTTAATTTCACACTCAACTAATCTTTTAATAATTTTCTTTCAGCCAGAATGAAAAAGGCTATTATTAATTTCCTAATAAAATTTTTTTAAAAAAGTTATTGAGGATATGACTCTAACCTTGGACCAGTTTCAATTTCTTTTTATTTATTCTGAGAATACATCAAAGATTAATGTCAATGGCAAGTGAGAAATTGTCCCTAGGGAACTATTCAAGGTCTTTTTCTTACCACATTTGATTGAATTGGAATGAAATGACATTATTAGAGTCTTTAACATCACTTTTATAATTCTACTTTCTTTTAATACCAACAGTGAAGGCTTTAGAACTATTACTTTAAATTAATAAAGTATATCACAGACAAAAATATACAATTTTACATTAAAGCAACATTAAGGGTCTCAGTTGACTAAAAAAGAATATTAAGGAAATTTACAGATATAGTTTAACATTGGAGATTGCTTTTCCTTTAGGGAAAAAGAATGAAACTAGATCTCTCATTTGTCTCTATGGGCAAGATATTGCAAACCTCATGATCAAAACACCTGCCAGTTAGATGCTCACTCACTGAAAAAAATCACCACACCAGCCTGAGAGTAGAAGCCAACAGCAACAGAAAAACAAACAAAGACACTCCAGCCAGAGGCATTCTAAGCTTCTACACTGCATTTCCTGTTTCCCACCAGTTTATGACCCTTAATGTTACTGAATGGATGGTTGCATATTTGAGATGATTAAAAAATAAAAGACTGGCTTAAAAGCACCTCCTCCTTCAGTGTGTAATTACATACAAACTAGAGATTCCATCTGACAGTCTCAAGGACCCGTTTGTAACTGTTCCATGCATAAGCACCATTGAGCCAATTTTTAAAGCACTTTTGCAGTAATCAAATGTTTAGTGTGTCCTCAAGTTTCATTGATTTATTTGCTTTTAAATAAAGAAAGTGTGAAATGTGTTATTTTATGCTATCCGCATCTGAATTGACCAAAAATGTTACATTTGGAAGTGCTTTTAGTCACTATTTTTCCCCATTGGACTAGAACAGCTTCATGAAATTTGATGATTAAATAAGGAAATCCATATATCCGAAGAAGCATATATCTGACCCTCAAAACTGCATGCAAAGTAAGGGTCTATTTGAGTGWATTTCCCCAAACTCCTAAGGGAAATGGCAGATCACATGTGTGGTAAAGGCTGATCTTTGAACTGACCAAGTTTTTTTAAAAAAAAAAAATCTTTGGACAAAAAAAAGAAAGAAAAGAAAAGAATGTAACAGTTTACAAAATGAATAACTTACTAATTATAGAAAAGATACGTCATCTACATTGGATGCTAGGTGATCCATTAAACATATCCACAACAAAGAAAATACATCCAAATGAATAATGATGTTAAMACTATCATCCAGGATCTGGGTATTTTACAAAATTCTGAAATCACAATTAAGAACACATACTGGATTCTTCTTTTTTTTTCTCAGGAGAGTTGGAAAGAAGTTGGGAAGAGAGGGAAATGAACCTTCACTCTCTGGTACAAACCCTGTATAGCAAACTTTGGCCTGGGGCACATTTTTATGGTCAAATTAAAAACCTTTGAGAATAGGAGTTTATCATGGAAATGCTGACAGATCCTTACCCAGAGAAGGGCTAGGGGCAACACAATAATATTAAGAAAGCTCTCCTTCAGCACAATCCAGCTTCCACACAGGGGATAGAGTTGTCTAACCGATGCCGTTGGCCAGCAAACAACYGTGATTTAATATGCTTGAGCCTTGGTATACAGTAGCGCCGTGACCCTCAAAGTCAATTTTTCTTTCTTTATTTTTTTCCTCAACTGAAATATGCCTCAAAGGGTAAAGGATTGCAATTTTAGCCTTCATTCATGGATATATTGCTTTCTTTCAACAATATCTGAGGGGCCTGTTAACTACCACCGGTGGGGGTGCTGAGCAGGTTGCAGGAAGGTTTCATTGAATACAAAACACAGAGTGTTTTCAGTAGTTTATTCACATTTTTTTCCTTCTGCTTATTTTAATATGCACCACGTGTAAGTTAGATGAGGGCTACGGTAAAAACATTTCCAATGACTGTAATCTTACTTTTCCTTCTAACGATCTGGAGCAAATCACATATTCATTGACCATGATGAATAAAATGATTTCTGCTACAATATTGAGAAAAAAAACGTGTTCATTAACATGAACAGTTCTCATCTACAGAGATGATTTACACGATGCAAATAATGAAGGAGTTCTTSCTCAGTTAGTCTACTATTGAACTGAAAAGATGAATCTTAGAATTCCCTTGAAAATATCATATGGTTGGTCATATGTCAGTAAAGGAAAGACAGTTCCCATCACCAGGCCACCACCATAAGAGCTATATTCAATACCTGAAAAAAAATATGGAAACACTTGTGGCGATGAATAAATTGGTAATTACGGAGATACACTGTCATAATGGTACATATTTGTTCTATGATAAGTGAAATAAAAAATAAGATCAATTTGGTTATAGAAATTCCTTAAAGAACACCACCACTTAATTATTTCAAACTTGAACTATCCCAAGAATGTCGAGAAAAAAATTAGAAAGCACTGGTTAAAAGCAAAGCAATCTGGATACACCAACGTCATCGGGCATGCCTTGTGCTTGTCTATTAACCCTCTGAGTACATCTCTGACATTGGAGATCTTGGTAGCTTAATGCTGGAAAGATTCCATTCCATCTGATTACTCAATATTTCTACTTGACAGGTCACATTCCACTGTTTATTCGGCATAGATCACTCCAATTCTAYAGGGAGGCATCGGGATCCTCATGCTGCATGGTCCCTGCATTCTTCTGAGCTACCTCTCTGCAGCATGCTGAGAAACACTCCAGAATTCCCCTTAGATGATAATGGAAAAAGGCCTGAGACATGCATTGTAGGTTCTGTACACTGAATACTGTAGCAACACATTTTACGCCCATGTGTGTTGGGGGGAATTCAGAGGGAAAAAAAAAAAAAGGAAAACAACAATCTACTGCAAGTAGGTCTCTGCCATAGGATTTTTTTTACATTCACATATTTAGAGTTGAGGCCAAGCTAAAAACCTACTCTTTCACCTTGAAACGGCACTTCACTTAATAATTTCAGAGAAAGCAGTAATTTCAGACCAGTTCAGTATTCTTTACTAAAATGGAATCAACCTATACACTGACATACTTCCTGGTATTTTGTGCCCCTTGCCCCCCACACCCMAAAAAAACAATTCAATTGATTTGCTGGTTTATGCTATTTTATGATTTTAGGTGTTATAATTTATGGATTGTCTAAAAGGAGAGAGAGAGGGAAAATTAAACCCTTACTAAAAGTGGAAGAGCGAAAAACCTAGGAGTCTTGTGTTGCAAAGGCAATGAGATGTGATTTGATAATCTATCAGAGCATAGACCACAATTTAAGGATTGAAGGGTAAAAAGCAGCAATTGAAGTTCAGTGTGAATTTGAAAACAAAGAACTCAATATAGAAATGTAATTCAGAAATTTTAAGACTCTGTGATATTAAAGTATATTCAAAACTGAGGAAATAAAGTACTGCTCAGCCATCCAGATGCAAATTTCATGAGATATCACTCACTGATTATTCTCTGTATCACAGAGCTGAGCAAATCTTAGGAGGACATTTGATTTGGGACCCTGCCTCTCCTCCTCTCTGAGTTCTGCTGTAATGAACAGGAAATGGTAATCCCCTGTTCTGAAACGGGATATGTTCCAGAAGAAACCCAGGCCTGCAGTTTCTCCTACCAGTGAGAGATTTGGTAATAGGAGTGGAAATTCGGGTCTCAGACAGGACTTAGTCCAAAGACAGGAAAACAAATGTTTCCGTACATGGTTAATGATAGGGGAATATTAAAAAGAAAAATCACCTTGGGGAATGGAATTTTTATCCTTAGGGCCACCTTCTAGGTGTTATATCCTGCTCTTCCAGAGAGACTATATAAAGGTACACATGGAATTGGTTTAGAACATTCTGGATTGTGTTCCTACCATGCTTTCTCCTCARCCACCTGGCAAATCCCTTGCCTCTAGCTCCACTGTGCCCCAGCTCTTCCATGAATGGATTTCATACTATGTGTGGATTTCACACTGATGACCACAGAACCATGAAAAAAAGCAGATGGGAAAATGTACAGGACCTTCTTTCCTCTTTCCATTTGAAATCCCAGCCTTATTGAGCACCTGGCAATTTATTGCTCTTTTCCACCAGTTGTTTCTTTCCTGTAGATGTTTGATACTGAGCAGACAGACCCTSCCTCACCAAGCACAAGATAAGCCAYGGTGATCCCTGGAGGGTCTGTGCTGGCACTAGCAGCAGCTGATGTAGAAGCAGCATTTCTGAGGCGTCACCAGTACGTCTTTGTATGGAGACAGTTTGCGGGGAGAGGGCACCGACAATTTCCTGGGTCAGGCTGTTTGCCACAAACCCAATTCCCTCCACTCCCCACTATGCAGGCCTCACTGCAGCAGATGGTTATACTTCTAAAGAAGAAAAAAAAATCCCTTTCCTAATAGGATCATGAAGAGGAAAGAGGGGTGCATATGCTGAAGTTATAAACCTGCCATGTTCTAAACCCACAGAAAAGGACAAGCCAGAGATCATTCTAGATCCCCTTCTTGTCCGGACGTTTCAGCATTTTAAGAACACCCCTTGATCTGCAGCAGAATCAAGAAACATGTGCGTGTACATCCAAAGGCCTGAAAAATTCCCCAGCAAGGATTCTCAATAAAACTCTATGCACTCAGAGGGTTAACATGTGCTATATTACATACTGCAGATCCTAACTTGACTGATGAAAACATTCATTGCTTCTATGTTTAAAAAAATTGGCAAATTAGCTTTAACCCTTTGAGGACCCTATTAGCAGCAAATTACCATCTTCACAAACGACACGTGCCATCTCATTCAGTAAAGGGAAATCGCTACAAAGAGACCCGAAAAACACACTTTCTCTTCTGCCATTCAAGCATTGAGCGCTAGATAGATCAGATGAAACTGTTTCACATAAATTTTGGGGAAAAAAATCTCAGAGTCTCAAAGGGTTAAGCTAGGACTTTGAGTAAAAGGGGCTTATTAAAAGGGTGAGTTGGGGGAGCGAACAGTCTCGGAGGAGCTCGGGGAGTAGTCTTCCGATTCCGAGTTGAGTTCTGGCGGAGCTGGCTGCGCCTTGTACCGGCTCCTCACATCCTGGTTGCGTCTTCGTCGGAAAACCTGCCTCTCCTTATCAAGAGCGGTGGTCTAGCAGGGGCATAAAATGAGAAAGAGGACAATTAGGCCGAAGGCAATGGCAGGAGGAACTCTTTCTAGAACTTCCTGAAGTTGGAAAGATATGCTGGCCAAGTTAACCTGTCCCTTATGGCTCATGTTTGTCAACAGTCGCCACGGTTGGGGGACACCTTTGCTCCCACAAAAGGTGCTCCTGAGAGGACCTGGTCATGACATCTGCAGACACAGGCAGGATGGATGATGTCACAGGTTGGAACTCTCCCTGGACCTACCCAGGCTCCTGCCACCTCCACATCTATTACCCTTGGTGGCTCCCAGGCTGGCCAGGGACATCCCTGTGGCAAATGGTAGTCTCAGTCTTTTTGTGTGTGGCGTGTAGGGATGCTCCCTGGGCAGCCCTGATCAACATGCAGCTGAGGACAGCTGAATAATAAGGATGAAAGGTGATGACGTTGCTTGACATGAAAACAGAGCCACAAGCTCACTCTGTTCTTTTAGCACCCTCTTCACTTCTAAATGATTAATATCATTATCTATTATTTTATCCTCTATTGATGAGGAGGAGTGTCTGAATATCTGAAATTGAGCATGGCTTTAAATGCAAATTAAACCAAATGGAAGCAAAGTTCACTTGGCAACGTTCATTTTCATCCTAGCATGTGGCCGTTTGTGAAAACTGTGATTCGCTTTTGTAGGTGTTTCAACTCCTAGCTCTGTGCCTCATTTTCCAGAGGAAACCTCAGATGATCCCCAGGATGTTATCTGACTATAGCTCTGGAAGTTATTACGACATCAGAATGAAGAACAGCATGACTTCATCACAGATTTAATGGGTGTGGGGAGGAATGGGGTCATTATAGCGAAACCTTACACAGAAAGCAGAAGAGCAGGTACAAAGCCTGAAGAAAAATATAGAACACATATAAAAGTCGAAGGCGTGCTTGTTTGAAAGTCCCTCTTTAAAAGGATGTAGCCTGGAGGTTATTCTGCTTTTAAGAGATTACTTTTCCTCTATAGGGATATATGCCTCCATTTTTTCCTCTTGAAAATTTACTGTTAGCCTCTTCAAAGAACTGAGATAAATTTATAGCCAGCCTGGTTCTGAGAACAAAGTGAAAACTAAGCCCCTCATACAGTTGTGGTATAGCATTTAGAACAATCTTAGATCTAAAACGGAGCAATCAAAGTCCCAAAATGAAGTAATAAAGAGAGAAATAGAGACAGAGTGTAGAACCAGTATAGTAAATGGCTTCATTAGCCTGAACCGTTCTACTTTAAAAACTATCCACACACTGACTAACAGTGTTACAAACCAATGAGGACAATAAACTTTAATAACTCACTTCTCATTTCACTAGATAGCTAATACTGTGATTCAATAACTAGTTTGTTGAAATGTCTACCTTTGATTTTTCTACTTGTTGAATTTTTAAGGACCCTCATATATGTAGTTCTTTGTCTTATACTCATCGATTTTATGATATTTTCAGCATCCTAAACCTAAATTCCTAACTTTATTTAAAACATTGTAAAGTTACAACACATGGTATTCTGCTTTCAAAGCAAACTGAACATGTTCTGTTTGTGTGGAGTTGAATGTTTGTAAAAAACAGATGTCTATTTAGTCTGACTTACATAAAAAGCATTCTGTTGTTAATCCAAGGGTAATATAAACTCTTCTCCTGGTCATAAAAATAGTTCTATTTCTACCTTCTTGAGGAAGAAAAAAAAGTCACTGGTGTTGGGCTGAATTCTGACTAGTGAACACAGGCAGTCAGATGTGGAAAAGGAAAGCACACAGGGCCCGTGGCCAGGAATGGCATGTCCTGCCTGTCACCGGCTGTGAGAACCATTCACTCAGTTCTCTCATCTGTTAAATAAGGACCTGGAAAATTTTTTTTCCCTTCCTTGAAGAGTTGCTATAGGTAAAATGGATGTATAACTGCTTTATAACATTCAAGGCTTCCATAAATGTAAATTATTCATTTTTTATGTAAACGAGTATTTTTAAATTAGGTAACTGCAGGTCACAAGAAAGGAATGCAAAATTACAATCTAGAGTACTTTCCACCTCTCCCTCACTTCATTGGCACTGTCTTGATATTTAATATATCTTTCCATTCAATGATTCAATAACTGACTTGTTAAAATTGACACCTATGTTTCATTCTTCTTGTTGAATTTGTATAGACTTTTTGGTCTATACCCATCAATTTTATGATATTTAGGAAAATCCACTCAGTTATCCAAATCACGCTCTTGGCTGCAGTCACTGAAATAGGACATTTCTCCACAAAGACCATATTTCAGTTTATGCAGAAGCTGGTGACCTTAATATTGAGCCCTTGCCTGGATGATCTCATTATTCTCATTTTCACCTGCATTTCTTTAAATCCTTGGAAGGGCAATCATATTCTCTTTGTTACTTGTCCCACTACCAGAGAACTCTTGTCCTGTTCCTGTTTAAATGGTCAGTTCTGCCCACTCCTGCCAAACTTCCTAGTTAGTAGCTTTCTAAATGTTCACCTCTGTAGATGAACTTTCATGCTCAAATGCTCCTGAACTTTCAGTTGCATGGTTTCCCAGTATTCTCATGACACTTATTCCTGGAAAGATACCTGGGTCATGAGCACGTGTCATGAATTAAAGGTGGCTGTTTCTATTAAATCTATAGACTTAGAGTCAAAAAAGGCTGTATAATGCTTCCTTGTCCAATGCTGGCTCTGCACAGTCAGGGAACTGAGGCCCAGGCATGAGGAGAGACTGGCCCATGTTGTATTGCTAACTGGGAATAGAACTCACTTCTGCAGAAGGCTCAAGCAATTCCTTTCCATTTACTCTGAAATCTCCTGGAACAGAATAAAATAAAGTCCTTGCACTTTAGTAGCTCCCCCCTTCTCCAATTCCATCCAGAGTGGGCTGAGAAGACCACAGGGACACCAAGGGCCAAAAACAAGGGTGTTCCCATGCTGCTGATCAGAGAAAATTTTCTTAGGAACAGTAGGTCAGGATCCACTCAGTCCAACCATTCTAAATATAGGGATATGTAAACTCTTAGGGAGATCTTGTTCTTGTGACAGAGATGCAGCTTCCTACCCATCCAGGTCTTTCTAATAGTCTGAAAAAAGACTGTGACTAACGCTGAGTGATCCCAACTGATTTACTCACAGAGATGTTGGAGAGGGTTTCTCTGTCCACAGGCCTCTGCTCCCTGGGCTAATCTATTCTCAGCTCTGTGGACTGGTTCATTTTACAAAGTTCTTCCTTCTCTGTTTTTACAACGTCCGGGACGTACTGCTATTACTCTGCATCCTGCCTCCACAATCAAGTCTGTTTTCTTCACCACACTGTAGGCTTCTTTGAAGGGCCAAGACCAAATCTTGGGCATCCTCTCTGCATTCTCCACAGTTCACACAACAGATACTCCATAAACTTTGTGGCTTTTGAAATATTGGGCAGTCCAACAGAGGTCACCGATTTCTCTCTGGAGCACCGAACCCCAAGTACCTCCTGAACACAGCTGACAGGTCAATTTCCACAAGGTTCAATTTATTTACAATTTCTCATAAAGTCCAATTCCTTCTCCTAACCTTGGCAATGTGCTTACAATGAAAACTTCCAGTGTCTAGTTCCTGTTATTACTTACAATTATTCTGTGACATCAGTTGGCTTATTGTCTCCCTTTGAGCAGACACTGGATTTTCTAGTACAGAATCCATTTACTCTGCTACCTCTATTAGCCATTTTTTAAATTTCCCTTTGAACACCTCTTTACTTCCATACTCTATAATTCCAGTAAAGGTGACCCTTGCCCATCTCTGGGGGTGGGGCAGGAGTGGGTTGTAACCTAGGAACAAGCCCAAGTTAACTTCATTCCCTGACACCCATGATTGGCTCAGGTGGGGACACTATCCCGTCATAGGACACAGTGAGACCTTTTGCTGAGATTCCCCTTTTATAACGAACCCAGCTTGGAGCTGCTTCTCACATCCTGAAACCATGTGGATTTAAGATTAAAACCAACTTGGAAGCAGATTTGAAGGACAAAAGGAAACCAATCTTTGAATGAATCCATCCATCATGCAAACCAGACCCTACCCATGGACCTTTCTGGTTATGTAAAATAATAAATTAGCTTCTTGCTTAATCAAGTGTGGTTTGGGGCTTTTCCCCTTGCCATCAAAACAGTCCTGCCATAGCTCTGAGTGTACTTTAGTCATTGTCACCTCTGAATTTTGACTCAAACTGTTCACCAACCTGAAATGACCTCTCACCCACTGCATCACAGTTTTTTCCCCCCTAAATCCCTCAGGCAATAATTGTCTTGGTTTTGGCACTTAATTGCACACTGACTTCTTATTATCTTTTCTGTGCACATTTCTCCAACATCATGTAAATTCCTCTATGGTACAATTTCAAACTTCCCTACATTTTCCAGAATGCTTAGCAGACTGTGGTATGCATATTAGACATGTATTGCATACCTCTTAATTAATATGTACTTTTTAGATGATTATGTACTTTTAGAATAATGAAAACATAAAATAGAACCCCCCAAAACTCTATGACACAAAAGAGTAAGAAGTTGAAGTTACTGAGTCAATATTTATGTATGCAATTTGTTTCTAATGTCAAATTCTTATTTCAGATAAAGTGGATAGTCTCTTATACTAATGCATTTACCCACTCAAAAACATCTCCTCTTGTCCAAGCTCTTATCAGAGTAAGCAGTGTCATTTTTCTTTAGAGTTTTAATTGTGGCTGTAAAGTTAACTTGCCTCCCACACCTATGCATTCACCCTTTACAACTAAATTCTGTAGCCCCTGAATACTGTTCAGGAATGAAGAATTCAGCAAGAAAATAGAACTATATGCTGTTATATAATTTTGGGGAGATACTGTCATTAAAAATGTAGTCCAACTGATACCCTCGAAGCATTTAAAACATAATTTGTCCTCTGAAGGATTGCACCACAAACTTAAATTTGGGCCCTTTCAACTTTTTCTGACAA